TATTTTATTTCTTTTAAGTAAGGTTAAGCAAATTTGTTTTAATAATATAAATTTAAATTTTATTAACTATCACAATCTATTTATACTAAAAATATCAAACAAAGTTAATTGAATATATTAAACAATCAATTTAAATAATATAAGATATTCAAATGATATAACGTTAATATATTTTAAAAATAAATAAATATTCAAATTTAAAATATAAGACTAATCAACATTCCCCCTCTTCTACAAAGAACAAAGCTTCTTCTCAGCAGTCATCGAGAGCTTGTTGTCCTATAAGTTTTTCCCGTTTCGATTGTACTCGGTTTTTTCTTGGTTAGCGCATAAGTCTCAAATGTTCTCGGAGGCTTGATTCTATCACGTAGGTTTGATAAAATCGTTTATTAGAGTTGCGTGAGTCCATACGTTTTCGTAGGCTTGAATCAATCGCTTAGGTTTGATAAAATCATAAGCTTGACATCCATCGTAAGTTGTCCTTAGGAATCGTGAATCTGTCACATAGCTTGCTTGTTAAACTCAGTCATTATTATTATCAAATTTCTCAAAATTGTTATTACCATATTTCATAAATAATTAATGAATAATTAATCCAATCGAATATCAGATTATAAATATTTGGAATAAATCGGAATAAAATATGGAATAGTTGATCAAATCGAATATATGAATAAGATTTTGAATTTCGGAATAATAAAATATGTAATAAGGGATGATAAATCATAATGATTATTATATTATTTTTTTAGGTTTTTAAGTTAACATAGCGTTTTATATTTTTAGCGTTTTTTATATTTTTAGCGTTTTATATTTTAAGCACGTAATATTTTAAGTAATCAGGTTTATTTTTAATTCTTATTGGTCTAGTAATTGGTATCTTAATCTCATTCTTCGTGTCCACACTTCCCCCCTTAGAGGAATTCTTAGGGTCAATTTCATAATATTTTAAACTGTTGTAACATTCTCCTTTCCTTAACTGATCAAGATGCCTTCTTACTATCCCTTTATCAGTATAAACTTGGAACATGGTGTTACTCTCTTTAAGCTTGATGCTGCCTTTGCACCACGTATAATCACCCTGTTTCTTATACCAAACATAGTCTCCTATATTAAAAGTTCGATTTCGTGGTAACGATTTATTGACTTCATCAACTTTATCCTCCAAAGGTTTTAATAAATCCCACTTTATTCTAATGTCGCGGTTAAACATTCTCTTGGACGGTGTAATTCCCGTAGTGTCATTCGGCGTGTTTCTATAGTTGAACAAAAATCTGTCCAGTGCAGTTTCTAAGTCAATCTTTATATTTCTTTTCGTGTGAGCTTTAAATGTTCTCACCATGCGTTCGGCTTGTCCATTAGATTGCTGATGGTAGGCCGACGTTAGCACATGTTTATACCATAATTGCTGCAAAATTTTTCAAAATCTTTGCTCGTGAAATTGGTACCATTATCTGTACCTTAACTGATATGCCTTCTTACTATCCCTTTATCAGTATAAACTTGGAACATGGTGTTACTCTCTTTAAGCTTGATGCTGCCTTTGCACCACTTATCATCACCCTGTTTCTTATACCAAACATAGTCTCCTATATTAAAAGTTCGATTTCGTGGTAAAGATTTATTGACTTCATCAACTTTATCCTCCAAAGGTTTTAATAAATCCCACTTTATTCTAATGTCGCGGTTAAACATTCTCTTGGACGGTGTAATTCCCGTAGTGTCATTCGGCGTGTTTCTATAGTTGAACAAAAATCTGTCCAGTGCAGTTTCTAAGTCAATCTTTATACTTCTTTTCATGTGAGCTTTAAATGTTCTCACCATGCGTTCGTCTTGTCCATTAGATTGCTGATGGTAGGCCGACGTTAGCACATGTTTTATACCATAATTGCTGCAAAATTTTTCAAAATCTTTGCTCGTGAAATTGGTACCATTATCTGTAACAATGGTTTCAGATATACCAAATAGTGAAATAATTTTATAAATTTCATTTAACGTGAATTCAGTCGTAATATTCTTTACCGGAACTATAACCGGAAATTTACTGTAAGCATCAACGATTATCAACCAATTCTTTGTAAAAAATGGACCCGTATAATCTATGTGTATCCTTTCAAATGGTTTAGTTGCTGCTACCCATGGATTTTGTATTTTCTTTGGATTGTCATGATAAATATTACAATCATCGCAACTTTTGACTTCCAAATCAATGTCGTTGACCATACCAGACCACCACATACGATCTTTGGCTAAGGATTTAATTTTACATGCTCCCAAATGACCTTCGTGTAACACCTTCAGTATGTTCTTTCTCAGACTTGATGGAATTATTATTTTGTCGCTTTACAGACAATCTTTAATGATACTTAGTTCGTATTCAATATTTTCATAAATTTTATTTTGGATAGGCACATTATTTCTTATGTCATTCATAACTTGAGATAGTTCAGAATCTTTAGAAGTTTGATCGCGTATTTGGTCAAAACTCAGAGGTATATCGCCAAAGTCATTTATAATCGCGATATCATCAATAACGTCATCCACACCTACTTGTGGTAATCTCGAGAGGCAATCAGGAACAACATTATATTTGCCAGCTTTAAACTTGATGTTAAAGTCGTAACCCCCCAAAATTATATTCCACTTTTGTAATCTTTAGGACATGGTTCTATTATCTTTCAGTCCTTTGGTAAAAATATGGATTAATGGCTTGTGGTCGGTTATAATAGAAAACTTGGTCCCTATCAAGTATTCTTGGAATCTCTTGATTGCAAACATAATGGCCAGAGCTTCACGCTCAATATTGGTATAGTTTATTTCGGATTTTGCTAAAGTTCTTGATGCAAAAGCTATGTCTTTGCCATCTTTTTCAGTGTCAAAACAGCTCCCAAACCACTTTTAGATGCATCCGTTGCAATTCCAATAGGTAAATCAGGATTAAAGTACGTCAAAGCTGGAAGACTAATCAATGTCTTTAGATTATCAAAACTTTTGGAGTGTTCTAAATTCCACTCCCATTTTTCTTTGTTGACAATCTTGTATAAAGGATCAGCTATTTCAGCGAAGTTGTTCAAAAATTTTCTGTAGTAACCGGCCATACCTAGAAACGTTGACAATTCCGCGGCTGATTTTGGTTCCGGCATTTTAACGATCGCCTCGATCTTGTCATGGTTGGCGTGGATCCCATTGGCGTCGATGTCGTGTCCTAAGAACCTTAGACTTTTTTTGAAAAATTAGCTTTTTGCAAAATTAGGCACTAAGCCATGAGATAGTATTCTTTCAAAAACCTTCTTTATGTTGTTGAAATGAACTTCGTCACTACTTCCCGTTATTAGTAGATCATCAATATAAAATACGACATCTTTCATGTCACTGAAAATTTGATCCATAATTTGTTGAAAAATCGCAGATGAAGTCTTTAACCCAAAAGGAAGTCTGGTAAACCGGTAGTACCCCCTATGTGTAGATATAGTTAATATGTCTCTGCAGGTTTCGTAGATGGAAATTTGTAGGAACGCATCCTTGAAATCTATCTTGGTGAACTTCTTCCCTTCCTTGAGCTTAGCGATAAGATCGTTTATTCTTGGAAGTGGGTATCTGAAGTCCTCAAGGGCTGGGTTGACAGTGTCTTTGAAGTCGGCGCAAACCCTAACGCTCCCATTATCCTTGTAGACAGCGGTTATCGGACTTGCCCATCGGACATCTGTTACCGGCTCAATGACTCCATCTCCTATCCATCTCGTAAGTTCTTTAGTAACAGCGTCTATCTTTGAATAAGGTAACCGTCTAGGTGGTATGATTTTCGGTTTGGCGTCATTACGTAGATATATCTTGACATTCCATATTTTTTTAAATTATATTAGGCTGGGCTTGGGAAAAATTTTTCAAAAATATTATGAGCTAGAATGCTTGAGAATTTTTTTATTATTAACTATGAGTCAGACAGTGGCCTAAAAAAATTTTTTGCAGGCCTTGACTCGGCCTGATCCAAAAACCTAGGCCCATGAAAATTTGATTTTGATTGTATTTTTAACATTATGATTATTTAAATATTTTATTTCAGTTCTCAACTACCAAAATTATTATATTCATTGGGCTTGGAAGAATTTTTCAAAATTATTATGGCTTTGTACTTAGCCTGGGAATTTTTTTAATATAAAATATTAGGTATTAATGATCAGTAATATTTAACAAATAATATTGGTATTATCAAGTAAAAGCTTTAAATTTAATTTTACCAAACAATAGTATTTACACTTAGTTTTAATGGATTAAACCTGGCCTGAGGGGGGGGGGAAGAATAATAATTGGATATTATTTTCAAATAAGAGGTAACAACTATCATAAAAGTAAGAAGAAAATTCTCATTCCCCGTCATTTTTGACGGGCTATCTTCTAGTATATTATAAATTATGATAATTATTTTTATGGCGATACTAATTAAAATAATTTTTTTTGAAAAATGATGTTTCTATTATTTTAACTAATTTTAATAAGTCATTATTTTTCTGGTCTCCGAACCCTGAACCCAAACCGGGTTCAAAGATTTTTCACTGAACCTAAGCCCGAACCCATTTTTTTAGAAGGAGGGTTCTCGTCCCTTCTATAAAAAGCCCCATTCGATCATGTATATATATATAATTAATTTTTTTTATATTACACTTAAATAATTTAAACTTGAAAACTAACAACTAATATTTTGTGAAATAAATGTATTTTAATAGTTTATATATTATCTCCTTTTAGTGACGAATATATTGTAAAAATATGAGATATGGTAAGAACGAACAAAAATTTGGAGTCACTTTTTATATTCCTTTTTAATTAAAGACCATTTTCTTTATAAAATGTTTTGATTCTAAATTTGTCACGAGAGTTAGATTTTTATTTCAAAGTTTATATTAATTATTCACGATAAATATGTTTTACTTAATAAAATAAAGTTATAAATTAGAAGTTTAATTTTACAAGTTTATTCGGTTAATTTCGTTTACATGTAGTCGATGACGAATAGTACCACTGGAAATAACGTTCTATCGGATATAGGGGATGCGGGAAGCGAGAGCGCTTGGAGCACTGAAGCGCACGCGCCTAGTGAAATAGGAGATAGGGTAAATAATCACATTTATCTAAAACTTCTTTTTTTGAATTGTATGATAATTGATCTATTTATTTATGTTTAAATAAAGTATCAACAAATTATATTTTTTTTAAATATTGGAATACCATTACATTCGCAGAGAGATATCAATGTATTGGATAAGCTGTTCCCATTATCATCGTCCGGGAGTTATTCGATTCACGCCACCCCTTCCCCCTTTTTCGGTGATGTCATAGTGGAGGAACAAAGGGACGAAACTCCAGAACCAGTCTCTGGCCAGCAGGATCAAATCACCCCGAAATGTTTATCAGGTAATTACCTATCGAGTTGAATTTGTTAGCATGTTATTTATTAGGTTTATACTTTAAATTATCCATTAATTTTTTTATTCTTTTAGAACTCTCCACTAATAAATCCGAACTACGCATGAAGCCTAGTAACTCGACCGCCTCTTTGGCCGCTATCATTGAAACCTTCGATCCTTTGGCGCGAGGCGCGTCGACGAGTCAGGGTTCCACTAAAATCGAAAAGGTAAAATATAGGCCATTTTAATTTTCGGGAATTTTTCATTATTCTTTTTGTAACTATTATATTTATCAAATCATATTTATTAATTCTATCAGTTATTATTTATTTTTTATCAAGCATTAAGCTTTTAAGAAATTGAGCGTTTTGGTAGCCCTTATAATAAAAACGTAAAAAACTAGAAAATACATAATTAGTTAAAAATTATTAGTGGTAAAGTTACTTTTACAGTAAAATGTTACCTTGTCCAAAACGTGAAGCTAGCTACATAGCAGTTAACTCACTTGCAATACAAGTAGTACAGTTACTCATCTAATAGTTGCCTAAATTTTTCCAAAAGAATATGTTAATTATATATATACCTATGCATTGGCAGTTTTATTCGCTTTTTTAGGCTGGCGGCGCCTTATCGAATTTCACGCCGCCCTAAAAATCGGCGGGCACCCTGAACATATTTTTTTAACTGGATACATTTTTTTGAAATAAAATATGTTATGATTAGGTTTTAATGATCTTATCATGCATACAAATTATTTTATTTAGATTTGAAGAGCATATAGAGTTCCAAGCGAACCCACATATTAAAACTACACTCTCCAATATGCTTTTAGCTGAAACACATAGGATTTTTCTAGCTAAAATCGAAAGTTAAGATTCAATAATCTTATTTTCCAAATCAATTTTCTTTGAAGAATGAAGCGAAAATAATAAATAATATTCTTTTTTGAGACCTGTCAAAGCGTCTTGTTTAGTCATTGTATTGTTGCTTCAAATTCTAACAGTAATGTTACATTTTTAGTAGGAATAAGATATTTCTAATTTGATTCTGAAGTTTCCTTGGCTGCCATGTAGCATATTGGTATATATGTTATACCAAAAAATTCAACTTACTTATTTATTTCAAAGACCTGCAGAGGTATCATTTGCACAGACCGGCCCGGTTCTTTTAAAAATATATTACATTTATTTTTATAGCTAAAAATGGCGGTTTAGAATATTCTATTTTAAATAACAGCTCAGCCCGGGTATATAAAAAAAAAATTTTTTAAATGAAGTTTTTGAAAATACATCCGCGTGCTCACATTTTTAGATTTAAACGCATTTACGGATTTAATTGGTCGTTTTGTCCATATATAGATCTCATTTATATATTGAACCCCATCTTATCCAAAATCTCACAATCGGCAATATTCTAACATGAATGTTTTTCTTTTTTGAATTACTTCAGTTATATTCCTCGCTCTGGAACGTTGGCTCGGTAATTCTTGAATGAATACTAAAAAAAAAATTAGCTGTCATCTTATTGTTGGTAACCACAGTACCCCAGAAAAATTTTATCTTCATTTTTCGTTTAATTCTTTTTGATTTTATGAATTAATCATTAACTATTTATGCTCATATATTCAATATCAGAATTTCGAATTATGTGAGATTTTCCTTCCCGCTTTTTAGCAAAATCCCGATCGGAAATCATTAAATATTTTTCGAGCGCGATTGACTTGATGTCTGATATATATGTTATAGAAAAGTCATCTCTATTCATAATAGTTAATTTTAATTCTTCATCATTTATTTTAAAAGATATTTGAAATAAAGTATTCATCAAAAAATTATGATCCTTTATAAGTTCCTATTTTTTATATATTAATGAACAAATTTCCTCTTAGTGTTTTCTATATAACGCAATCTTTTTAGAAAAGAAAATTACTTAATGTCATTCTTCCTAACCTCCTTCAGTAAAAGAATTTGATTTTATATTACTTCCATATCTTATAAAATCAAAGTTCTCGTAAAAAATAAGGATATATGAGTAATCTTCCATAAAAAATTTAAACCTTCCTTTTTATTCAAAAATAAATTTAGATATTTAAATATTTTTTTATAAATGAACTTTGTTCGAAAGAACTGTAAAAATATTGTCTGTCATAATGTGAGTCTTCTAAGACACTGGTAAACCCGGTAAAATATTAATATCACAAACAATAGGAGAAGTTGGATAAACTTAAAAATTTTGCGGCTTCTTATAAAGTTTAAAACGATATTATTAGCAATTTTTCAATACATGTGGTATTTACTTAATTTAAAAAAAAATTAACACACATTTATAATTTAAGATATAAAAGAATACATATTTTAAATATAACTAGTTATATATATAGTTACTTTCCCGGCTAGCTGCAAAGGTTACTTTTTCAAAATACTTATCTCAGTGTAAGTCCCTTAAAAGGGTAACAACACTAAAGTATTTATATAAGTTTTAAATACATTATACTCAAATTTTTGGAAACGATATTTTGCAACCCTGGGGTTTTTTTTTCGTTTTCTATCTTTTAAATTTAACATTATGCTAGGAGCTTTGGTATGGCCTTAAGCTAAAATTACATTAAGAGTTTGCACCACGATGAATGATATTCTGAGGGTTTATTAATGTCCCCATAAAAGCGGGAAGAAAATAATTAGACCGAGGAGTTATTTATATCATTAAATATTATCCAAATATTTTTCCTTCTTGATTTTGATTATATCGTGGAGTTTACTTATTAGGAAATGTACATGATTCAAAACCGTTACCGATATGGATCCAGTACAAAAATCTTTTCTAATTATCCTGCCGGTTAAGGGACCGATTTAATCTTATAATTTAAAAAAAGAATGAAATAATAACTTACTATTGCTTATAAAATAAATCGAGGATTGTTAGTAAACATTCCATTTTACCCGGTTGCTAACAATTGCCATCTTATTCCTTTAAAGAATTATAGGGCTGTGCAATATCTGCATGAACGGGGATGGGGTAGGAGAAAATTTTCTCCCTATATCTTTCAGAATGAGAAATAAAAAAATATATTGGATCTTGGTAGGTAAATCTCGGCATATTACTTTTATAACTTGAAGAAACATAATATATGGTGAGTAGTAACTTTTTATTCTCAATTCTTGTATATATATATATATATTCTATAGTGCTGTAAAATATATATAAAGATAACATCTTTTCGTAACAATTTTTTATTTATTTTTAGCAACAATTGATTTTCAAAATTTTTATCTGACAAACAAGAGCGCTTAGTGCTCAACATAGCTTTCGCCATGCTAACCACATGTTTAGCGCAGAGGATGGGAGAGTTGTATTATATTTAATAAATAAACATTTTAATTCGGGAATTTATTAAAAATATTTAAAGAATTATTTATTTTGTAAAAAGCTTAATAGATTATATTCACAAATATAATTTAATTGCTTATATTTTAATTTCATGTTTTCGCTTTTCAAAATATTATGAAAGAATACTACTTTTGATGGTTATTTTATAATATTCTATTATTAAAGTAATGTTTAAAATAATAATATATTAATTCATTTTTTTAACTTCATGTGCTTTTTTAAATTTGAATTACTGGACATTGAGGGTGGAATATTTGCGTTGGGACATAATTTACATTTAGATATTGTACTTTATACCCTTCATTATCTTTATTGGTGTAAAATATGTTTTAAATTGGGGCCAGGGAAGGGTTAAATTATCTTCATCTGAAGAAGTAAGTTCTATGGACCTAATATTCTTAAAATAAATCATAAAATAGAATAATAATATTATTATAAACATTTACTTTGAATTATGATTGAATATTAATAAGATTAACATTCAATTTAACAACGAGAATTTAAAATAAAAATGAAGGAATGGTGGTTGTTAATTAAAAAACCGGGCTTTATATTAAAGAATAAAAAAAAGTAATTTTATACTACAATAAAATATGATTTACTTTTTTAAATACTTTTTAAGAAAGAATTTAGAGTAACGGTTTGCGTTACCGTTACTAAAAAAAAGAAACGCGTTACCGTTACTCGTTACCTTATAGGAGAAGACGTTATTTTACAGCACTACTATTCTATAATTATTCAATTTTGACCTTTTATATAATTTTAAATATAAATACACTATATTATTGTATAAAAAATATATTATTTAAATAGCGTTGAATATTATAACCCTTTAAAATATATGAAATATAACATATCTTATTTCCCATCAAGTTCAAGTTCGTATATTAATTTTTTTGCTTGTTTTAGTTCGCTCGTTGGATATCGGTTTTGAATTACTTGACTTGGTTTAATTGTTTAAACTATTTTATCTTCTAACTTTATATTGGCATCTATTATTATTGATTCGGATTCAACTATTCCATTGTTCATAGTTGGTCGGATTGTTTTCGTACTATTTTTTTTCTTTTACATTTTAAGAAAATTTAGCTTGTTGATTTATTATCTTTCCTTCATACCATCCTTTTTTAATTGGTTTTTTTATGCACACTGAATAGTTTACTCCAAAATATCGATGTATTCCTTTGTCTAACTGGTTGGGTTTCACTACAAAAGTTTTTAATTTTTCAGTAATAGAAGATTTCACCTAGTCCAATAATTAGTCTCCTTCTCATAAATACTTTTTAAGCATTTTTCCTCATTATTATGTTTCTTCTCTATTTGCGAAATATCATTTTTTATAGTTTGAAAGCTTTCTACTAAACCATTACTTCTCGAATGATACAATGTTGTTTTTATATGTTGCATATTCTTGTTTTACACCATTTATCAAATTCTTGAAATAAATTGTGGACCATTGTCGGTTACAATTTGGCATGGAATACCATATCGAGTAACCCATTTTTCTATTCTATTTATTAAATTCTTACTTGTATCTTTAATTCTATCGTTCTCGACCCATTTTGAGTATGCATCAATTTCTACCAGCCAATAAAATCCATCTAATGATCCAGAAAAATCGAAATGTACCCTTTTCCAGTGGTACGATGGCGGATTCCACTGGTATCCTGCAAGACCTGGTATATCTCTTCATTTTTTTGACATCCTACAGCTGTAAACTAGTTTTTCAACATCTTTATCTAATTGTTCCAACCATATATGATGTCTCATAATGGATTTCATTGATGTAATACCGGGATGCTCAGTATGCAATATATGTAGAACTTTTTTTTGAATTCAG